CTCTATAAACAGAGGGATTACACCAAGTTTGACTTCCCAAAGCTGCCCAAGCACTCGGTAAAGGGACGTAGTGGGTTTGAAACGAAACGATTCGCAAAGAAATATAAACTTCGGCATCCAGTGGCTGGGAACTTCTTCACAGCCACCTGGAGCGCCGATGTTCCAGCCCTTATGAAGGTCATTTCACTCGGTGCACGCCAGGCCACGCAAACTTGAGTTAATCTAAACTATTAATTATTACTAATAAAAATTAAATAAAATGTACCCCGTAAAGGCCGATTTACATTAATTTTCTGTAAAGGTAGGATCAAGGTACGATTATTTCATATACCCACATATTGTGTTAAAGCATTTAAAGGATTTTAAGAAAGCGGTAATTTTTATCCTGATCTAGGTATACATATTATAGGTATATTTAATGTGCAAGATTTCATGTCCATAGCTTTTACTGAGATGTGAGACATAGGATAGAGACGTAAACGGATGATGGTCTCATATTTGAACGACGTTTTCATATTTTATGACAATTGCAAAATTTTCAAAACAATAACTTTCTAAATTAAGCTCCTTTAAGCAAATAATTCATTGGACAGATTAAAACAGGCTGGAAAGAAGCGTATCAGATCATTACTACTTAGCTAGTCGATCTAGACATGTCTGACTGTTTGTCCGTATCTCGGAAACTTTTACAGAGTTTTTTGGATGACCAGATAATGCAATAGTTTCATTGAATAGGAAAAATCGTTTCACGACTTCGAAAACCCACAAAAGTTGACTATGAATACAGCTTCATTGCGTTAAATGCTCTGGCATAGCCTACATAACTTCACTGAGCTCTATAAAAAGCAAAAATAATCGGACACCTTTCCTGAGCTGATGCATTTCCATTGTTGCAGGTGGTATTATTATTTTAGTCAGTAGAGGAGATACTTCCATGTTCAGAAAAATTCCTAAAAATCCGCCGCACGTTAAAGATATTTTAGTTTTGTGGGTGGGACGTGGAATGTAGAATATCCAATATTTTAACAATTAAACATAGTGTATATTTGTTTTGTATAGAAAATGATAGGAAACTCCACTTGGATTTTAATAGCAAATCACGTAGCTTACAAATAAAACAAGGAAGAACGCTATAGTCGAGTACCTCGACTATCAGATACCCGTTACTCAGCTAAATAGAGATATGCAAGTAGCAAAGCGAGATTAAAATGCGCCACCTACCGGCGGTATACAGATTTAAGCGTTATGGGCGTTAGAGTGGGCGTGGCAAATTTTTTGGACAAATCGATAGGTTTTGTCGAGACCAATACATTTCAGCTAAAATTTTTTATCTAGCATAAAAATTGTGGGCGTCACAGGTTTTTGCGGTTTGTGGGCGTTAGAGTGGGGGTGGCATATTCGCGTAACAAACTTGCGCTGCGTATAAGGCTACGGAATCTAAATCTGAAATCCCAATTCTCTATCTTTGATAGTTTCCGAGATATCCACGTTCATATTTACGATTTTTATACCCGTTACTCGTAGAGTAAAAGGGTATACTAGATTCGTCGGAAAGTATGTAACAGGCAGAAGGAAGCGTTTCCGACCCCATAAAGTATATATATTCTTGATCAGGATCACTAGCCGAGTCGATCTAGCCATGTCCGTCTGTCCGTCTGTCCGTCTGTCCGTCTGTCCGGATGAACGCTGAGATCTCGGAAACTATGGGAGCTAGGCTATTGAGATTTGGCGTGCAGATTCCTGAGCTTCCTACGCAGCGCAAGTTTGTTTCAGTAGACTGCCACGCCCACTCTAACGCCCACAAACCGCCCAAAACTGTGGCTCCTACAGTTTTGATGCTAGAATAAAAATTTTAACTGAAATGTAATGTTCTCATCAATACCTGTCGATTGACCTAAAAAAAAGTTTGCCACGCCCACTTTAACGCCCACAAACCGCGAAAACCTGTGACGCCCACAATTTTTATGCTAGATAAAAAATTTTAACTGAAATGTATTCGTCTCGTCATTACCTATCGATTGACTCAAAAAAAAGTTTGCCACGCCCACTTTAACGCCCACAAACCGCAAAAACCTGTGACGCCCACAATTTTCATGCTAGATAAAAAATTGTAACTGAAATGTATTGGTCTCGTCGATACCTATCGATTGATCCAAAAAAAAATTGGCCACGCCCACTCTAACGCCCATAACGCTTAAATCTGTATACCGCCGGTAGGTGGCGCATTTTAATCTCGCTTTGCTGCTTGCATATCTCCATTTAGCTGAGTAACGGGTATCTGATAGTCGAGGTACTCGACTATAGCGTTCTTCCTTGTTTGAAGTTTGTGGGCGGTTTATGGGCGTAAGGGTGGGCGTGGCAATTTTTTGGGTCAATCGATAGGTATTGATGAGAACATTACATTTCAGTTAAAATTTTTATTCTAGCATCAAAACTGTAGGAGCCACAGTTTTGGGCGGTTTGTGGGCGATAGAGTGGGCGTGGCACTCTACTGAAACAAACTTGCGCTGCGTAAGAAGCTCAGGAATCTGCACGCCAAATCTCAATAGCCTAGCTCCCATAGTTTCCGAGATCTCAGCGTTCATCCGGACAGACAGACGGACAGACGGACAGACGGACATGGCTAGATCGACTCGGCTAGTGATCCTGATCAAGAATATATATACTTTATGGGGTCGGAAACGCTTCCTTCTGCCTGTTACATACTTTCCGACGAATCTAGTATACCCTTTTACTCTACGAGTAACGGGTATAATTACAAGAGAAGCACTTCTAACCGCCAGGTTATTCTTCTCGTAAATTTCTAAGAAATCGTAATCGATCGAATAATATTTTTTTGGAGAAATTTATGGGTGAAACTCTAATAATCTTAACTACAATACTGTGGAACCTGAAATTGATGGAAAACAAGATTGAATTTATTCTTAATCATTTGTTACCTACATATTTAGAAATCTGCTAATTACTATAAATGTATATATTTTGTTAAGATTTTAAACATTTTTAAATAAAGTATTTTACTTTCACTAAGATTTATTTGAGAAAAATGTCGGTACTGAGGGATTGTTCACATACATAGGAATTTTGGACGTTTCAAATTTAAACTAAATCATTACTCACCAAAAATGTCCGAGGCCGCTGTATGCTTTTCGAAACACAAGATTGTCCCGGATATCTTGAAAACGTGCCCCACTAGTTTGCTTAAGGTAAGCTTGTCCATTAGGCACTTAGAATTAGCCGTTTTACATTTTACATATGTGCTTCCAGGTTACTTATGGCGGTGGTCAGGTGGTGGACATGGGCGGTGAATTGACGCCCACACAGGTGCAGGATCAGCCAAGAGTTGAGTGGGATGCGGATCCGAACGCCCTGTACACGCTAATCCTAACCGATCCGGATGCCCCCAGTCGCAAGGATCCCAAGTTTCGCGAGTGGCACCACTGGCTGGTGGTCAACATTCCGGGCAATCAAATTGAGAACGGCACGGTTTTGACGGCCTATGTTGGTTCCGGTCCGCCACAAGGCACAGGTCTTCATCGCTACGTCTTCTTGGTCTACAAGCAGGCTCAAAAACTCACGTGCAACGAGCCTAAAATCCCAAAGACGAGCGGCGACAAGCGAGCCAATTTCAGCACCACCAAGTTCATGAGCAAGTACAAGCTGGGAGATCCGATTGCTGGCAACTTTTTTCAGGCACAATGGGACGAATATGTGCCCAAGCTATACAAACAATTGTCCGGCAAAAAGTAGCTCAAGTTTCTGGTGTCGGAGACAATTTGATTGGGATATTTTAAGGTTATTGTTTTTGATTCCAAATCCACGAAAATCCGGCTGTGAAATAAAAAATACGTTACAAAATTAAAGTCCACAAGAATAAACATAACAATGAAGAACGCTATGGTTGAGTACCTCGACTTTCAGATACCCGTTACTCAGCTAAAGGGGCCAAAGGGAAATGGTCCCGCGATCTGAATATATGGTTATTTTGCCGGTATTCAGATTTAAGCGCTATGGACGTTAGAGTAGGCGTGCAAACTTTTTTTGGGTCAGTCGATAGGTGTTGATGAAACTAATACATTTCAGTAAAAATTTTTTTCTAGCATGAAAATTTTGGGTGCCACAGGCTTGGGCTTTTGGATCAATCGATAGGTATTGACGAGACTAATACCTTTCTAGCATAGAAATTGTGGGCGGCACAGGCCTGGGCGATTTTTGGGCGTTAGAGTGGGCGTGGCATATTCGCGTAACAAACTTGCGCGGCGTATAAGGCTACGGAATCTAAATCTGAAATCCCAACTCTCTGTCTTTGATCGTTTTTGAGATATCCGCGTTCATATTTACGATTTTTTAAGTTTGTGGGCGTTAAAGTGGGCGTGGCAATTTTTTTTTGGGTCAATCGATAGGTATTGATACATTATTACAATACATTTCAGCTAAAAATTTTTATTCTAGCTTTAAAACTGCATGCCAAATCCCAATAAGTTAGCTCTTATAGTTTCCAAGAACTCAGCGGACAGACGGACATGGCTAGATCGACTCGGCTAGTGACCTTGATCAGGAATATATATACTATATTGTGTAGGAAACGCCTGTTACATACTTTCCGACAAATGTAGTACACCCTTTTACTCTACGATTAACGGGTATAAAAATTATTGATACATAGTATAAGTAGGGATTGATGGGATATTCTTTTTATGCTTATTCTTTCCTCCAAAACGAATATACGCATTCTTATATTAGCAAATATTTTAAATAAATATTTTTCTATAGTTTAGAATTAAGTTATAATGGATATTTTTTCAATCATGTTTGCCTTAACCAATCACAAAACTTATCAGATAAAATTGTTTAGAATTTGCAGCTGATTGCATTCATTATCTCTGAAGCGTAACTTTAAATAAAGATATCATTAATTGCAGTTCTGGGAATACTTTTTTTCAGCTGTTTGTAAAACAAAAAGCTTTCAGCTTCGCTTTAAAAGTATGGCATCACGGCAAACTCGTTTCAGTTGCTGACAGACCTTGTTCGGGCGCAGAGGAGATCTCTGTTACTCCAAAGTTTTCTTTTTGTTTTTATCACAAATTTTTCTACAAAGATGCTTTTGGTTCTACTGCCGTTAATGAGCTGCTTGCTGGCCGTTCAAGCAAACTCAGTGGAAGAGGTTTTTCGATCCCATGAGGTAGTCCCCGATGTCATTCCCGAGCCGCCAAACCAGTTATTAAAGGTGGGGAAACTAACAACTTTAAAAAAACCAATATATCAGATCAATTGAAAAGGTATCTAATAAAAATGAATATTAAATATTACATAAATATTGTAAACCACGCCTTGGATCTTTGGCACTGATGTTTATGTATGTTCAATGTACATATATATTGCAATGACGCGAAAGCTTTAAAGAAAACTAAAAACAACAATTCGTCACAACTTTCTGATCAAAGGTCAGAGGAAAACTATTTAGGCCAAGAGTGTCCAGCTTAAGGCGTTTTTTTTTTTTGAGGAGCTAACAGATTTTGAGATCACACCGCACACTTTCCTAAAAATCAGCGATGCGAAAAACACAACCTTGAAGCACCAATTAAAAGTTTAAATCAAACAATTAACTTACTAATAACTTTCCGATCAAAGGTCACGTACAGCAACAACCTGGTGGCCAAGGATGGAGTGGAGCTTACGCCTACGCAGGTGAAGGATCAGCCGACCGTGGAGTGGGACGCGCAGCCCGCCGACTTCTACACGCTTATCATGACGGATCCCGATGCACCTAGCCGAGCGGAGCCCAAGTTCCGCGAGTTCAAGCACTGGGTTCTGGTCAATATCGCCGGCAATGACTTGACCAGCGGTGATGCGATCGCCGAATATATTGGCTCCGGTCCTCCCCAGGGAACGGGTCTGCATCGCTACGTCTTCCTGCTGTACAAACAATCCGGCAAACTGGAATTCGACGAGGAACGTGTGAGCAACAAATCACGAAAGGATCGGCCCAAATTCAGTGCCGTCAAGTTCGCCAAGAAACATCAGCTGGGCACTCCCATCGCCGGAACTTTCTACCAAGCCCAGTACGATGACTATGTGCCTAAACTGCACAAGCAACTTTCGGAAAATTGATGTTCTTTTCTGTACATTTTAAGCCAATAAGCAGTCATTTGAAGACTTTACAAAATAAAACATTTTAAATAAAGAACTTTCATACAAATTAAAAAAAAACAAAGAAGTTAAGATGTAATTAAATTACAGAGTTAAAGGTTGGGAAGATCAGTTGATTTTTTATAACATAAAACTAGACGTTTTTAAGATCAACAGCTCTGTTAATTTTACTACTGCTAACGACGATTTAAAATTTGGTTTTTACTCAATATTAGATTTCAATAAGAATTAATAATGAATTGAGAATTTAGACCTTCCTACCCTCTTGTTGAAGTATTTAAAAAAATCCTTACTTTTTTAATATGTATTTTTGACTCATATGAAGATTGGTTGACCTGGTATACCTATTTTAAAAGTGAGCTTATCCGCATTATAAGACCGTGTCTGAAACTTACAATATTCATACCACATTGTCCCACAGGACTGTATTTTCTTGATGAAGTGATTCGGTTTTTAAGTTTATTGATTGTAGTTGGTGGTTATCGGTAACTGTACGCTATGGCTATGGTAGACTATTTTCCGGCCGCCGTGGCCAGGGGGTTTCTGAGTACCAGGATCACGGAGTCTCCGCGCAGGAACATCTTCGATATGAAGCGGTCCTTGTTAACGGGCTTCACCTTCTTCTTGCCCTTTCCCGTGCGCGGCAGCTCCGTCCACATTTCCTTGACGTTTTCCAGGACCATGTTGCAGTGGCGGTCGAAGGCCTTTACCCTGCCCAGGAGCTTCTTGTTGTTGCGGCAGTTGATGAGCACCTGGGTGTTGTTCTTCACGGATTGTGTGAGCACGGACAGCGGCCCGGTGTTGAACTCCTCCTCCTCCTGGCGGGCCAGCTCCTCCGGAGTGAGTTCTGATTTTGGTTTCACAAGAGCCCTGCAGGGAGCACATTTAATAAACATTTACAACTCGCGCGTGGAACCAACAATACAAAATGCCGGCGCACATGTGTAGCTGCCGGTTTTCCTCTTTAAAATTGGTTGGTCACCATTTACTTGGAATACTTACATGACGGACTGTACTTATAGCTTGGTAAATGCAGTATAAAGTCTTTGTATTTCGCTCTTCAGTTCTTTTTTGCGTTTATTTTCAGCAAAAACTTTTCTAGCGCGGCTTCTTCCTTTGCTTGATATCTAGAGATGGCCCGCTAGCGATGGCACTATCGGCCATTCACGTATGTGGTATATTTCGTTAAAATAACAATTAATTATGACTGCTTTCCACTAGTCCAGTTTTGGGACTTTACGATAAGCCATATACAAGCAAGAATACATATTGGATTGGATTTTAAATACCAATAGAATGGAAATTAATCACAAAATATAAATTGCAAAATTCGAAAGAAAAAAAATTCGCAAGCGAACGTAGACGCGGAGTTGGTATAAACGGGGATGTTAAAAAAATGTTTAAAAATATATATTTTAGTATTTTCTCACGTTTACAATGGAGGTCACATTGTCTCGCACGAGTTTATTTTTGATTGAAAAACCAATTTTGTGTGGTTTTATAGAATGGAACCCAAGAAGCCGAAGGTGGCTTCTGATGAAGCGGAGGACCCTATGCCCACCACCTGCTCCTACTGGGTGCCACGCAAGAAGCGTCGCTGCAAGATGACGGCCAACAAGGGAAGCCCCTTTTGTGGCGCCCATGCCCCACCCACAATTAGCCCCTCAACTTCGGATGAGAAATCTGGCGAAGATTCCTTCCAGGAAAGAATTCCCTGCCCCCTGGATTCCAAGCACACCGTCTTCAAACGAAAACTAGCCAAGCACTTGACCATTTGTAATGCTAGGGATCAGGAAACTTCACTGCCCTACATTGTAAAAGGAGTTAATTCTGGAGAAGATTCGGAAAAACAACTAGTGGACCAGGAAAAACTCAACCAAATAAAACTTCATGAACTGTCGGATGAAGAGTTCTACGGTTTGATAGGCAAAGTAAAATATCTGTACGACAAGCACATTGGTTCTAGCATACAGGAAATGCAGTTGGAGCATAAATCTCTGAAAGAGGAACTGAATCGGAAGGACTACGGTCAGGAAACGCTACGCCAGCTCACCCAAGCCTCCAGCTTGCTGGGTATCCTGGAGAAGGACCATCAGCTGACGGAACACACAAGCTACGTGGAATTCGGCGCTGGAAAAGGACAATTGGCCTACTACCTAGCCACCGTTTTGGAAGGACAGCAATTTACTCACTCCCAGGTGATACTTATCGATCGGATGTCTCTTCGCCACAAAAAGGACAATAAGGTTGCCAATAAGGAGCTGGTGCAACGCATCCGGGCGGATATCGCCGATCTAAAGCTCTCCGCTTTGCCCGAGCTGAAGAAAACCGAACGAACGGTGGCTCTCTCGAAGCATCTCTGTGGAGCAGCCACGGATTTAACACTGAGGTGTATCCTGGGTGATGGAAGTGCCTCCACGGACTACGTACTCATCGCTTTGTGTTGTCATCATCGCTGCTCCTGGCAGTCATATGTGGGACGCTCCTTCCTCCAAAAATCTGGGATTGGACCACGGGAGTTCGCTATCCTAACCAAAATGGTCAGTTGGGCGGTTTGTGGCACCGGCTTAAGCCGCGAACGGCGCAAGGCCATGGAAATGACGGAAGATCAGCCCACGGAGACAAACACCCAGCGACTAAGTCGCGAAGAGCGCGAAAAAATCGGTCAGCAGTGCAAGCGGGTGTTGGACTACGGACGACTGGATCACCTGCGATCGCACGGTTACCACGCAGAGCTGAAGTTCTACGTTTCGAAGGATGTGACTCTGGAGAATGTGGTCCTGCTGGCCAGACCATCGATTTCTAAACAAGAGGGCCACAATAAATGCAGTTGATTTTAGTAAAACAAGTCGTTTCCCTTGCTCTCAACTCTCAACAGAATTCCCAAAACCGTATATTCTCAAAATATTAGAAAGTAGTAGCTGTCTATATGCATACGTATCATCGCGATTGTTGAATATTACTCTACACAATTGGACGATAAGTTATCTGAAATGATTATATTTATGTAAGGTTTTAATTATACCCGTTGCTCGGAGAGTAAGAATCGGTCCGTCGGTATGAACGCTGAAATTTCTCTTGGGATTTGGATTGTAGATTCATGGAGTTCTTGCCCAGCTCAAGTTTTTTTCAGCAGGGTGCCACGTCCACTCTAACGCCCCCATAAAACCCGTCTAGCACCCACATTTTTAAAACTTTTTGAAAAATGTTAATGACAATTAATGTCCAACTACATGCCGAAAATTGTTCAATCCGTACCATTCATTAAAAGCAAATAAAGTGTGCAATCTTGGCAACTGACGCTTTGCTACTTGTTGAGTAACAGGTATCTGACGATGGCATCGACAATAGCGTTCTCTCTTGTTTTATTTTTTAAATGGCCAAATGTACGAGTGCAGATTGTTAAATTATATTTTTATATTTTCAGATAAATTTCAAGAAAACTTTCTGATGGATATCTATCAGAGTTCCCGGTTTAGACTATACTAGTTAATGCGCACTTTTAGGGTTAGCTCCCTGTCCAATGAGTTTTTCCTAAAGTTAAGCTTGTCTTGTCTAATTTGTTGTGCAAAGTTTTATTCAACTTTGATTTGTTTTTCCCTTTCGGGATGAATGAAGGTTCTTAACGCATCTCATTGCCTTAGTCAACGCTTTTTTAGCCGGAACAGTAGGCTCTACCTGACCGACGGCATCTAAAATGATAATATGTTATTAAAATAAATACGAAAATAAAATAAAAACTCACTCAATAGCGCTGGAAGAAAATTTTCAAAAATGTTAAGCTTTTTTTTACTTTGGGATCCGTCTAAATTATAATTAAGAATGAGCGCTTCCGAGAATATGTTTCGTATTGATCGACTCATCTTTTGACGGCTCAAAAGCAGTACCATATGCTCTATCTAAAAATACAAGAAAACATTTTTGTCAGTTTTAAATAATAATTCTAGAACGATAAACTTACATATCTATCGCAATTCCCCTTGTTTATTTTTTCATCTATCTCCGACAGCTCATCATCTGATTTTATAGGGAAATATTCGAATATTTCCAATTTTCGAGACGTCTTTACCTTGACCTTTACCTCTAGGGCCGGCCCTTCGGATTTCCTTTTGCCTGCGTGAAGAGTTTTCACGCATCTCATTGCCTTCGACAACGCTCTCTCAGCGGATTCAGAAGGGTTTACCTGACCAATGGCAACTAAAATGTTAATTTGTTAATAAAATAAATACAACAATTTACTAAAACATACGCAAAAGTGCGCGAACAAAATGCTCAAAAGATTTAAGCCTTTTCTTGTGTTGGGCTCCCTCCAAATTGTAACTTAGAATTATATCATCCGAAAATATGTTTCGTATTGATCGACTCATCTTTTCCTGGCTCAAGAGCCGTACCATATGCTTTATCTAAGAATAAAACAAAATAGTTTGCATTTCAAAAAATTATAGAATGTGAAACATACATATCTATCACCACGCCCCTGGTTAATTTTTTCGTCAATTTCCGATAGCTCCTCGTCGGACTTTAAAGGGAAATAATCATCCATTTTATCATGTATCTCGGGCTCCACCTGTGTCGTCTGTTCAACGTACTCCGTAAGCGTCCCAACAGCCTTAGTGAGCATCTCAACAGCATCCTTCACGCCACGAAGTTCAGATACAGCCGAATTAAGGTCGTTCTGGATTTCTTTGAGCAGGTACATAAACATACAATAATGTATCCCTATTAAACATAGAACTAACAAAACTTACCATTAACTTTGTCAAACAACGAATTATTCTCTGAAAACATAAATATAAATGGAGTTACCAAGAAAAAAACAAAATAAAATTTCAATACTCACGGCTCTTTACTTGGTCCGCGCATAAATAGTCTGGGGTTGGCCCACTCATACTCAAAAAATCTATAAAGTAAAAAAAAATTAAAACAATAAAAAAGATATAAGGATATAGATGGCCGATCAGCACACGCTTTTACCCTGATCAAGGTATGAAAGGTACTGAAAGTTTTAAATTGCTAGCTTGCAAACGGAATTGAAACAGACGGGCTATATCGACTCTCCTACTGATCCTGATCAAGAGCACTTATACTTATAGGGTCGGCATCGTCTACTTCACTGTGTTCAAAACTTCAGACCAAAATTATAATAATACTATATATAATTATAAATTGCTTTGTATATGAAATACATATTTAAATCAGTATTAGATCATTTAGAAAAATGATTAAGATTCGAAAAAATGCGACGGAGTTACATCGGGACCTTCGTTTCTTGTTGGGTAGATTGCTGTCACGATATTTTAAAGTCGCATATAACGATGGTATGTGTCGCATCATCAGATCAGATTAAAACTTTTGAATTTCTTAAAATTAAGTGTAAACCTAAAGTTTTTGCTTTTTCAAAATTCTAAAAAGTAGATTTTTGTCGAGTCCTTTTTCACCACGGAGGTCAACTAAGAAAATAGTGAAAAAATACCAGAAAGATACCGCTAACAAATTTAAAGTGTCGAAATTCAATCGAAGTATTCCTGAATGAGAATAGAAACTGCGGAAAAGATATCTTAAGTCGACGCCCGAATTCAGACAGCATTAATAATATTTTATGTACATACGAGTATAAGCTTCAATGTCTACTCCATAGACAAAAGGTCCCCGGAAAAAATTCTGCGTTAGCATGTTTTAACTAGATTTTTCATCTACATCCAAAACATAAGTCTCACTGAATTTCTGGTGTTTGTTGACAATATCTTATCGCAAACTCTTTGTTAGTTAAAAACTTGTAAGCATATTTTCTTACCATTAATTGGGTTTATTTATAATTATTTTTGTTTTTTAGTTGTCAACAAGAACACTAACCCCAGTTTGGCGTACCTCAATTTATTCAGATCTGAATGGTTAGTATTTTTAGAAAATACAGGCACATTTTGGCCTGTTCGCTTTACACACCCTTCGTTAACTGCAAAATACGGCATGTTTTTGAATCTGTATGTGGGACTGCCATATTTAAAATTGCCAGTTATCCCGCCTTTTGAAAAAGTACCAAGCAATCGAGTTTTTGTTACTCTAAACCTGTGTCAGGAGTCTCAATTCGGCGCCCAACAGACTAGCGGCATCCCCCATGGTTTTTGCAGACCAGCTTGCTAAAAACTAAGAACTCACCAGATTAAAGTGGAATAGCCACAAGATCACGCGCGCTTAACTATGCAGTCGTAACAATCCGATTTTAACAAAACCTTTATTGGCAGTTAAGGAGAAAAACCCAACCGGTCTTGCTTGCAACAATATTTACAACGGCATGGCGTCCCGCACAATCAGCTGATTTCAAACATCTGTTGGCGAATCGGTGTTGGAAAACGTCACTAAGGCCTATTAAAGCGCCATCTGGCGGATTTTTCGATAGACAGCACTCCCGCAAGTAACGTCATCGTTAATCGGTGGTGTTATCACATCCCAAAACAATTGCCGCGCTGATTTGAAATCACAAAACCCAATAGTTAAAGAATTTTGTAAATTTTAATAATAAAAAACACACTAACATGGAAGAATTACATATTATATGCATAAAATGATTTCGTTGGTAAACACCCAGTCTGCTTAAATGAATACCAATGTTTTTTTGTATCGAATTGTTTTTATGAATACCAAAGTGGGGCAGGAGCGCATTTTGAATTTACTAAGAGCCAACTCTTACTTCAGTGACTCTTCTTCTATAAGTTATATACTCTATTCACACAGAAACACGCTGTTTGATCGGTGTATCACTCGTTATGATAGGAACATCACTGCAGATTTTAAATTCTGCGGCTATGAATTGCAGTTTTCTTCGCACGCTCTTCTGTTGCATTTCGTTACTGCGTGTACTTGCGATCACAGTGACTCTTTGGACCGCGGGTCAATTGGAACTAAATGAAGCGAAGATTATTGATTTCGATTCGGCAGACATGTATTAACAAGTGAATAGTCATGCTGTTATGCAACTAAAGATTGTGGTCAGTGGATGTCCTTTAAACCAGGATTGCAATCAGGATTTATTACCCGTCACCACAATGACTAGTCATGTGCAATTAAAGGAGATAATGGGAAATTGATTATCATTGATCAGTGACTAACATTTTTGTGTATGTATGTATTGGGAAAGTCGTGCGGTTTGTATTGCGCAGTAGGCTTACTCGACAACAAGAAATGATAATAAATTAACTTTAGATATGGATCAAATATTAAAAGATTTTAAGTACGAAAAACTAAAAGAGTGCTTTCAAGGTACGATTTATTATTATTATTATTTTAATTATATCTTGTATTTTTTATTAGATAGGAAGAGATTTTAAACTTAAATATCCAGATATCATCGTCAATTTGGTCGACGTTTCGAAAAAGGTTTCTGTAGCTAGCTCGAGGAAGAGTAAAAGAAAACTACAGCCTTGAAATACTCAACGAGTTAAAAAAGGATTCAATCGACGACGGTAAGCTTTCCTACTCTGTTTAGGTCTGTCAAATTTATAAGTACTTGCTTACAGATCAACTTAATATTGGAACTCTAACAATTTTGCATGCCGTCGGCTAATAATAAGAAAATCGGCGTGATGGTAACAATTCAAGATTCCCGTCAAAGTTTTTACGCACAGTTTGCATCAGCCGCCGAGTTACAAACTGCTATAAATGAAAAAATTGAATCCCAGTTTAAACTTAAAGAATTTCTACAGCCCATTATTTGTGGAATTGGTCCAAGCGCATTGGAATCAACTGAATTTTTTGTTTATTATGCCGAAGTGTCGTTTATTATATTGACTATAAGTTTACAAATATTTTAAGCGCAATTGAAACTTGCTTCAAACTTTTTTGATCTTGATCTTAAATATCCTGACTCGTGTAAGCCAGTTGTTTTTTCAAGAATATTTCTTTAACTTGAAGTCATTAGACAGGTTAAGTCATTAATAAATGACTTAAAATAAAAAACACTGTACATGTGAGCATGCCATTTTTGAATAAACATTTTTGGTTCTCCTAACTTCAAACACTTTGAATTTTGCGACTTCTTTTTATATTTTTTCTTTGCTTTAAATGTTATTGTTTCCTTAATTTTGCTGACTTTCCTTGAAAAATGTTGATTTTATTAAATTTCCAAAAACTTATCTTAAACATTTTATCAAAGTGCAAATAACATGTAAGTCGTGTCATAGCCGAGAAATTAGCTTCGAAAGCTTAAATTTGTTTTACGACCATGTTAAAAAAAACCATGTCCATTCCATTAATAAATTTACTTGTGGACTTTCTAATTGTAACCAAAGCTTCACTAGTCATAAAATCCTAATAAAACATATGATAAACGATCTACAAAAAACAAGACAATAACAGAACTCTGTATTTATTTTCACAATTTGTACTTAATTTTTTAGGCACGTTTGCCCTAGAAATTAGGGTGGGGGTCAAAATGTGGGGCACAAACTTTAGGTCAACGCTGGCCCAACTCTTAGGCCGTAATATGCCTAAAATTTAGGCATTGGGATTCCTTATAATTTTAGGCAGTCAATTGCCTCAAATTTAGGCCGAAAATTGCACCAACTTTTAGGCCGTAAGATGCCTAAAATGAAGGCTTCGGGTTTTTCTTATATTTTTAGGCAACCAAGTACCTAAAATCTAGGCCAAAAAATGATAGAGACATATTGAAGGCTCTCTCTATGTCAAGGAAGGCGATCAATGTGAGTTCCTGTGCCTCTGATTTTGTGTCGGGTCGATAGTGGCTCCTTTGTGTAGGCTTATCATTCTTTCAAAGCTCTTTAGCAGGAATGATGTTAGGCTTATTGGCCTAAAATCCTTTGCTGCGGTGTGGGTGGCCTTCCCTGCCTTGGGAATAAAAACCACTTTCGTTTCTCGGCATGCGGTTGGTAGTTCTCCTACCACCAGGATGGTGTGGAAGATTTTCCTCAGCCAGTTTATAGCTAGTTGTGCTGCTTGTTGGATATGTGCCGGTGCTATCCCGTCCGGCCCGGCGATTTGTATGGTTTGAAACTCTGAATGGACCATTTCAAGTTGCGGTCTGATAGGAGGAGATCTAATTTGATTCCTTCTCCGGCACTTCTTTCTGGAAGATGATCTGTGTGTTGGCTTCCTGGAAAGTGAGCGTCTAGGAGCAGGTCCGAAGACTCTTTACTGGAGTCTGACCATGATCCATTTGCCTTCTAAAGATAGCCCAAGGGCGCGGCTGTCTTAGAGAGTGTTTTCCTTAGTGGGCATCAGTCGTTTTTTCTATATTAGAGCAGAAGGTCTGCCATGCAGTTCGTTTCGCTCTTCTAATGGCCTTTTTGTAAGAAGCTAGTTCATGCTTGCAGTGCTGCCAGTTAGTGTCCTCATTTCCCGCCTTTGCTCTGTTAAACAGGCCTCTGCAGTTGGTTCTGAGGATTGGTAATTGTTGGGCCCATCAGGGGGGTTTTTTCCTTTGAAGGCAGTGTTGCATGCTTCTGTGAATTTATCTACTGTTCTGTCCAGCTCCTGTGGGTCTGTAATGCTTTCAGGCGGTTCCATGGGGATATCCGTCAGAACTTCTTTGTACCTTTGCCAGTCGGCTCGTCTGGGGTTAGCGAAACTGACCGGCAAGGGCGAATCATAATCGGTGGAGTAGCCGTCCTCCGGTCCACCGGGTGCCTCAGCAAGCACCTGCTCGGCTGGGTTGCCGGTAGAGCTTCCAGTATGTATATGGCACTAAAACCGAAGTTCAGCACTCCTCGAGCAGTCTCGATTAGAGCAACCGACTCCTTATTTAGGACCTGGTTAACATCCCCTTCATGCCCGAGCTTGCTCGTCGCCTCGTCAGCCGACCGCTGACTATCACAGGCCACCACCTTGACGCTGCCCTGGTACCAGCCCGCATCCATGCAGCAGGGCGATGAACCTGGCTTTTCTCGCACCATGCGCTGGCATATGAGGGAAAGCTGGGACTCCACTGACTTCCACTTATTTCTGGGAATCCTGCAATCCTCCGGATTGCCCCTGTCGATGAGATCGAGAAAGACTCGGTCCTTGGTTATCTCGGCGAAAGAGACCGATGGCTGGATCTTGGATCTCTTCGCCGATGGTCCGGGTAGATCTAGGGATCGCTGCCTTTTCGCCTGAGCCCCTTCTTGGGTAGGCTTATCCTGCCCGTAGTTAGGAAGCACCTAAGTACTTAGCCTCCAAAAGAAAAACGAAAATTTTGGAAACGTGGCGATTTATTTCTCAACATAATCTCCTTTTAGCTCGATACACTTGACCCAGCGATGCTCCAACTTCTTTAACCCGCCTGAAAAATACGTTTTCTCGAGGTCTGCAAAATAGGCTTCTGTGGCGGCGACGGCCTCCTCATTCGACGCAAATTTCTGTCCAGCGAGTGACTTTTTCAAGTTTGGAAACACAAAGAACTCACACGGGGACAAATCTGGAGAATATGGTGGATGGGGTAGCAGTTCGTAGCCCAATTCGACCAATTTGGCCTTGGCGAGGTCGTAGGTGTAAGCCGGTGCGTTGTCATGATGGAAGAGCACTTTTTTCTTCGCCAAGTGGGGCCGTATTTTCTGCAATGGATCCATGTTTCGTCGGCGGTCACAAAACGACGCAGAAACTCCTTCGGATTGCGCTTAAACAGCGTCAAACACTGCTCTGAAGTGGTCTCACGGTTGCGTTTGTTGTCCGGAGTCAGCGAACGCGGCACCCATCGCGCCAACAGCTTTCTCATGCCCAAAATTTCATGCAGGACATGACCCACGCGGTCTTTTGACATGCCTACTGTCTCAGCTATCTCGCGTATCTTTAATCGGCGGTCTGCCAATACGGGATCGTGGATTTTTGTCACGTTATCCTCCGTGGTAGCCGTTTTCGTGGCACCTGGGCGTGGCTCATCAAAAACCGAGGTGGGACCACGTTGAAACTCGTTAAACCCATTTTTGACGGTCGCCATCGAAGGAGAATTGTCACCGTACACAGCATCCAAGCGCTCTTTGATTTCGCTGCGCGATTTCCCTTCCAAAAAAAAAATCGAGTCACAGACCGATATTGCTCTTTCTCCATTTTTCTAAAATCCGCGTTCTTTAGCCGTTCAGGCGAAGGCAGAGTCTGGGCGGCAGTGTATGTGTATGTATCCCCAACATCCCCAGTTTGGGATCGGCCGTTTTGGGACCGAGCTGGTGCGGATGTTTGAACCAGTGTTCAACGTTTCCGTGGGTTTTTGAGAGCTCCCGTCTCTGTGTTTTGCTTTTCGGTTATTTTTTGTCCACACTTGGTCCCACGAGTTTCGAAGAAGGGGAAAGGTCCGCCCGGACAGAGATCCGCGATGCCCGGGTAAGGCGACAGTTAGAACAGGGGGTCGCCATATCCCTGAGCACACCGTTCGAGACTGGGCTAGTTTTTGCGGGCTGGGGGCCCGCAGCCAGGCTGACTCTTGGGAGAGAATGTGGGTAGGTGATGTGTTGGGTATGGGTTTGTGTAAAGCAACTATTTAGATGCGGCTGAACAATTCGCATCGTCGGTGTTGCTTCGTTGCAGGCTTCCCACTGGCTGTCCGGGACTGTTTATTTACTGGGGCTTCCGACCACGATTCCTTGTTTGACTTCTCCCACCAGCTTAGTCACAGTTGGCCTGCGACCCGCTCGGTTGCCCCAGCTAGGCGGCTTTGGAACAGTCTCACAAGTTCCTCAGACCAAGGAGTACTCGGCTTAAGATTTCAAAACATTTTAAAATAGTAGCTACTTAAAATAAATAATTTTATCGAGTTTATAGTGTTTATACCCATTACTCGTAGAGTAAAAGGGTATACTATTGGGTGGGCAAGAAAGTCATGTCGTTTTTTTTAGTAATCGTTTTTAATCTAATTTATTTACGACTAATCGAGCACCAGGGTCACACTTTTTAGTATCGTTTTAAAGCTTATTGTCTTAGGTACTATCGACGAAAATTTGGTAATTATTCGATAACATTTGTGGAAGCTATAGCAAATTAAACATGGAGGACCAAAGTGAGCATTTTCGGCATATTTTGCTTTTTTACTTCCGAAAAGGAAAAAAAGCGGTCGAAGCTCGCGAAAAATTGTGCGAAGTGTATGGTAAAGATGCCATGAGTGATCGCCAATGTCAGCGCTGGTTTGCCAAATTCAGGCTTGGAGATTTTGGAGTTAAAGACGCCCCACGTTCTGGTCGACCATCGGCCGTTTTTGACGAACAAATTCAGGCTTTGCTGGATGAAAACCGGCGCTATTCAACGCGGGAGATGTCAGAGAAGCTCAGTGTGTCGCATACAACGGTTGAAAACCATTTGAAGAAACTTGGCTACGTAAGCAAGCTCGATGTTTGGGTTCCGCATAACTTAAAGGAAATTCACCTAACTAAGCGTATCAACATCTGCTATTCTCTGCTGCAACGGATTAAAAACGATCCTTTTTTGAAGCGGATCATTACTGGCGACGAAAAGTGGGTTGTTTACAATAATGTCCAACGAAAAAGATCATGGAGCAAGAAAGATGAGCCAGCCCAAGCCACATCAAAGGCCGATATCCATCAGAGGAAAGTTATGCTGTCTGTTTGGTGGAATTG